GGTTGCTACAGGAACGGTTTCGTCTTCGTCGGCTGTGATTTGAAGAACTTCCTGGGGCGGGACTATGCTGGGCTAGGATATTCCTTGAACGGGAATAGTTCTCCGAAGAGCTGAATCTCTGTTTGATGCAATAGCAGCTAGAGCATCCGCACTGGTGTTGGCAGATCGGTCAATCTGATGTAGTTCAAAGGTTGTGAACTCCGCTGCTAATTGCTTTACCAGTTTCAGGTAGGCGTCCATTCGATCGTCCTTCGTGTCATACTCTCCGCTGAACTGCTTAGCGACGAGCTGCAAATCGCTAAATGCCCGGATGTGTTGGATGTTCATCCCTCGGGCTAGTCGGAGACCGCCGATCAGCGCTTCGTTTTCAGCTTCGTTGTTGGATGCATTAAACTCCAGACAGAAGCTCTGCTCGAGAAGTTCTCTGGTGGGAGATTCCAACAGAATGCCGATACCAGCTCCGAAGCGTGACGATGCTCCGTCAACATGTAGCGTCCATATTTCTGAATTTGCCGGGTCGGCGCTTAAGAGCTCCGGTGATAGTTCGATCAAAAAATCCGCCAAAACTTGTGATTTCGCAAAAGTCCACGTTCGATACTCGATATCAAACTCGGAAAGCTCGATTGCCCACTTCGCCATGCGGCCGGACTGCGTCGGGCTGTGCAAGATCGAACGAAGAGGTTGGCTGGTCATGACGGCAATCGAATGAGATTGAAAATAAGGTCGTAGTTTCCTTGAAGTGACGACCACAGCAAGAGCGAGTTTTTCTAAGGTCAGGTAGCGAGCTTCAGCACCATCCACGGTTTTGCTGAAGTAGAAGATCGGCTTTTGCTCCCCACGGTCCTCTCGAACCAGGACTCCGCTGATTGCTGCGCTGGAGACCGCAACGTAGAGTAGCAGAGTGTCGCCATATTCAGGTTTGGCCAGGATCGGTGGTGTCGAAAGGTAGGTTTTGAGCTGTACGAATGCGTCTTCACACTTTTCGTCCCATTCGAATTGCTTGTTGCCTCGTAGGAGTTGATAGAAGGGAAGACACTTGTCTGTAGATCGGGATATAAATCTGTTTAGCGCGGCTATTCTTCCTGTTAGGCGCTGAACTTCGCGAGTGTTGGTTGGCGAGGGTAGCTCCAAGATCGCAGAGATCTGCTTAGGATTGGCTTCGATGCCACGCTGAGTGACCAAGTATCCTAGAAATCCGCTGGATGTGACTGCGAAGGTGCATTTTGCGGGGTTGAGTTTCATGCCATACTGGTTCAGTATGAGAAAGCATTCTCGCAGATGGATGATGTGGTCGGCTGCTTTAGCTAATTTGACGAGCATATCGTCTATATATACTTCCATCGTCTTCCCAAGCTGGTCGGCGAACATTTTGTTGACCAGGCGCTGGTAAGTGGCTCCAGCGTTTTTCAAACCAAACGGCATGACCTTGTAGTAGTAGGTGCCCCGATCTGTGATGAATGCGATCTTCTCGCTGTCGTCCGGATTCATGAGAATCTGATTATATCCTGAGAATGCATCCATAAAGGAGAGTAGCTCTTGCATGCTGTAGCCTCGACGAGCTGATCGATATGAGGAAGAGGGAAACTGTCCTTCGGGCAAGCTTTGTTAAGGTCGGTGAAATCCACGCAGACCCGCCACTTGCCGTTTTTCTTTTTGACGACCACCGGGTTGGCGAGCCAATCCGGATACTTTACTTCGGCGATTGATCCGGCCTTCAGGAGTTTATCTACTTCATCGTGGACGGCTTGTGCTCGCTCAGGTCCTAACTTTCGTCGCTTCTGCTTGATCGGCTTGAAGGTTGGGTCGACGTTCAATTCGTGACTCGTTATTCAGGGGTTTATGCCCTTCATGTCGACCATGGACCACGCAAATGTTGCGACGTTCTCTCGGAGGAAACTGATCAGCTCGTCCTGCATGCTAGGCAACAGTTCTGTGCCGATACCGACGCAACGTTCCGGGTGGGCAGCATCAATGTTGACTTGGGTGATAAGATCGCTCTTCGGCTGCTCGTCGTGATGAACGATCTGTGGGTCAAAATCACTACTACTACCGATCACGAATGTTGATGCCTTTCGGGCGCGCTTGTTGTCGATGTAACAATGTCGGGACACTGTCTGGTCGCCACGGATGGTGATGATATGACCCCTGATCGGCATCTTGATGCATTTATGGTAAGGAGAAGGGACGGCTCGCATGGCGTTCAGCCATGGTGTTCCAAGGATGGCATTGTAGATCGCAGGTCGGTCAATAACCTCGAATTTGACCGTAATTGATTTCCCGCGTATGGTGACAGGCATCGTTATAGTTCCTATTGTCGAAATCGAGTCTCCAGCGAATCCTGTGAGTGGTGATGGTGCGACTTTGATGTCCCGCTCGGGGATACTCATCTTGCGTAGAGTATCCATGAAGATGAGGTCGACCGAACTTCCAGTGTCGATCAACACTTTGGAGACGTCGTCCTCTCCGAGTCGTAGTGAGATGACGAGTGGATCGTTATGAGGTCGGTCGATGTCATGCGCATCCTGCTCTGTGAATGTGATCGGTAGGTCGTCCTTGAACAGTAGTGGTGCGTCCTTCGGAGGATTGACTGCCTTCCGTTCGTGCCGTTTAATTGAATTTATCGAGTCGGTGCACGAAAGGAGCCCTCCCATGATCATGTTGATCCGCCGACGTGGTGAGCTTGGAGGTGTGTGATCGTCTTCACGGTCACGCTTTGCTTCCTTGCCCTCGCGTTTAGAAGAGTGATCGGTGTTATCTCTTCTATCGCGATCGTCATCGGGTCGCCTGTCCTCATCGTCGGATCGTCGTGAACTCCGGGGTTCTGGAAGGGTGATCTCGCCATCGTCCCACCTCTTTCTCAAGAGGGCTGGGAGGGTGCGGCAATCATCGGTATGATGACCGTGCGCCCTATGGTATTTGCACCACGACTTCTTGCTGTCGGGGTCTCTGTCGCTCGAGCGGTCCCACACGTTCCATGGCTTTTTTGATCGTCCAACTACGTTGATGCTCTTGCGATTCTTGTCATCCTTGTAGTAGTGCTGACGGGGCTCTTTGTAATCTTCCTGACTCGACGATCTGCCTTTCTTGTCGCGCGAAGATTTCTCATCGGCCAACTTGGCCTTGGCCTTGGCTGCCCGGTCCTCCTCGACTCTGATGTACCCGGATGCCTTGTGCAAAGCATCTTCGAGGGTTTTGGTTTTTTCTGTCTTCAATCGTTCACAAAACAATGAATCATCCTTCAAATTCTTGATAAGAATATTGAAACACAGTTCGTCCGACAGACTGCACAGGGAGACGATTGATCGGAATCGATCGATAAAATCGTGCAGCGGTTCCGTGTCGCCCTGAACGCATGCCCATAGATCGAGCGCTGTGGACTCCGTGTTGATGTAAATCGAATAATGCTTCAGGAACCGAGCTGTGAGCTCCATGAAGCTGCCGATGGAGTTCTTGGGAAGCTGTGAGAACCAGGTGAGGGCGCTTCCGGAGAGCGTCTCCACAAAGTATTGACAGAGGCATGCTTCCCGTTCCTCATCGGTGAAGCGAGCACGTCCCATGACTGCGTTGAACGCGGTCAGGTGTCGCTTCGGGTCTGTCGTGCCGGAGTAACTTGGAGGTAGCTTCATCCGACCTATGTCCTTAAGAGGAGCATTGGTGATAGCCGACGTGAATGGGGTTTGCTGTGTCTCCTGAAGGATCTTATCCAACTCGGGGGCTGAAGTCGTCGCCTTGTGGATCTTGCTGTGGATATCATCAAGGCGTTGGTGGAGCAGATCGAGTTCCGAGGTTGTCGTCGGGTCGGTTCCTGCGATATTGCGAGATGAGCGGGCATGCAAGCCGTCTGCCTGTGCTCTCCTTAAGTCGTCTGTCAGTGTCGTGCCAAACAAGTTGTTGACCATCCTGGTCGTATCTGTGTTGCGGATCGAAGGGCGAGGGGGAGTGATAAGATCGGCCTGCTCTTGGGTAGGAACCCTAGAGTTTATAAGCCGATCCAAGTCTTCTCTGTAAGCTATCTGCTCGGCACAGAGGGACTCGAAGTGAGCATCCATTCCCTGTTGCAACTGTGCTGCAACCGACCTGATGATCCTGGTCATGTCGATGGGAGGTGGCTGTGGCAGGCTGGTCGTGTTTGTGCCACCCGTCTGACCGACCTGGTCTGTTCCTCCAGTGTTCTGTGCGGTAGTTGTGTTGTCTTCCTGATCGGTCTGGTGGGCCACCGGAAGCCCTGTGGCTAGGTCGATGATCGGATCCTGAATGTTTCTTGTCGGATCGGAGGCTCCTGTGAGGTCGGTAGTGTTGATCGGTGTTTGAACCATCTTCAAACTCCGTTCTAAGTCAAAGATTACTCTTTTATTCCTCTCAGATGGCGCCAACTGTAAAAACTCAAGTTCGATCTACGAAAGAACTAGGGTTTGTGGGTTTAAAGAGGTCTTTTATTAGAAGAAGCCGGAGCTTGAATGAATACACGAGGGTTTAGGTCGTCGGAATAAGAACGCCAACCTAAACTTTTATAGAAAGTAAATCGAAAACTAGAACAATCAAATTATTCAGTTTGCCCTAGGTCTCGATAGATGATTTTTGGATGGATTGAGGAGTCAAGGACTTCCTGCATTTATAGCCGATCAGGTCGGTCTTCGACCTGTTTGGAATAGGAAACTCTTGTCGGCAAGAAGGAGTTTCTTTTTTTTCCTGAGTCGCTCGATAAATGGAAGATTTCCTTTTATGTCGCCGACCTGAAACTTGTTAAACGGGCCGACCAAAATTCATATCGGGCTTGTTAGAGACAGTACGGATCTCATCTAACAGATACCATCTCGATTCTTCGTGGTTAAGAGAGCGGTACGAGTTACACAATGGCGTTAAGATATCTGATGGTTCCCTTGTTTCAGCAGCGGTTCTTGCAGACCGCTACATCACAGAAGGCTTAAGACAAAGGTTTAAAACTTGCACCAAAAGATACCTCGAGAATAGCATTGCTTTCTTTTTGTTTACCATTAGATTTCTTTGTTTCAGCTATTGAACTTGTTGACGAAGCTGCTGCAAAGCTGAAGATGGAGATCACTGGTAAACCAACTGAACTCGATGAAATAGATAGTGCTGTGATCACACTGGAGATGGAAATGCTTTCTTTGAAAAAGGATAATGATAAATTTTCTAAAGAACGGCTACAGAAGATTGAAAATTATTTGATCACGCTTAAAGACAAACAAAAAGTATTCATTGAGCAATGGCAGAAATAGAAGTCTCTCATTGCTAATATATGTTTTGTTAAAGAAAAGGTAAAATCTATCTTCCTTACTCCTGTTTTTTATGCTTTGATACATTCTTTAACTATACGAACAAAGGTAGGTTGTCTTTCAAAACATCTCCATTCATAGTCTTTCATAGAATAACTGTTGTGAAGTGGATACTCAAATAGTTTGAGAATTTTTTTTTTTTGTAAACTAGTGAGATTTCTACTCAATGAAATATTAAAGGAAATGAAAAATCTATAAGAACCTATCCAATACAAAATATTATAATTATTATTTTAATTATGAAAGACTGATTTGAGAGATTATGGCTGTTTTTATGAAGTTTTTTTTGATGTGATATATATATTAGTAAAATCTATTAAAGTGCCTTAGACTATTTTTTTTTTCTTTAGAAAAACATTTGTATGAATCTGCTAAATAAATTCATGGATTTGCCTCTCATACATGTCCTAAAAAATGTTCTTTATTTTACAGATCGATGGAGTGAACCAGGAAATTGCATCAGCTATATGTGAATTTGATCAAAACCGTGTTGATGATAATAAGAATTCCATACTTATGTCCCTCCAACGCCAATTAGAAGAATCTCATGAACTTCAGAGAGTCTGAACAGTCACTAGTCCCGGAAGAGGTAAAAGGTCATGACATAGCAGAGATAGTAAGCAACTGGACCGGTATACCACTGTCAAATCTTAAGCAGTCAGAGAGAGAAAAGTTGGTCATGTTGGAACAAGTGCTTCATGAGAGAATAGTTGGTCAAGACAAAGCTGTAGAATAAGTAGCCGAAGCTATCCGTTGTTTAAAGGCCGGTCTTACGGATCCTAGCCGACCAATAGCGAGTTTTATGTTCATGGGTCCAACAGGTGTTGGTAAAACCGAGCTTGCCAATGCTCTAGCGGGATACCTCTTCAACACTGAAAACGCAATAGTGAGGATTGATATGAGTGAGTACATGGAGAAAAACTCGGTCACGCGGCTCGTTGGTGCATCTCCTGGCTATGTTGGCCGGTTACGGAGAAGGTGGACAGTTAACTGAAGCTGTTCGCAGGAGACCTTATTCAGTGGTTCTGTTTGATGAGATCGAGAAAGCGCATCCTGATGTTTTCAGTATCCTGCTACAGCTACTTGACGATGGAAGAATAACCGATTCTCAAGGGAGGACAGTAAGTTTCAGAAACTGCTTTGTGATTATGACATCTAATATAGGATCTCACCAAATTCTTGAGACTTTCCGCAACAATAAAGATAACAAAGAAGCAGTTTATGAGACGATGAAGCAACAAGTTGTGGAGTTAGCAAGAAAGACTTTCAGGCCAGAGTTCATGAATAGAAGTGACGAATACATTGTCTTCCAGCCGCTGGACTCAATAGAGATATCCAAAATCGTGGAGTTTCAGGTAATCTTTATTTAGTTTGTGCAAACGTTCTTCGTGCTATGGTTTAGTATAAATGTATTGCTACCATTTGGTTGGTACTGCAGTTGAGGCGCCTGAAGAACAGGCTGGAGCAGAATAAATTAAATCTTGAGTACACAAAAGAAGCGGTGGATCTTTTTGCTCAGCTTGGTTTTGACCCTAACAATGGAGCAAGACCGGTGAAGAGAGTGATAGAGAAGATTGTGAAGAAGGAGATCTCTTTAAGAGTTTTGAAGGGAGAATTTGCAGATGATGACACTATTCTTATCGATGTTGACCAGCCAAACAACAAATTGGTCGTTAAGAAGCTCAAGAATAATGCTCCTATTGAACAAATGGCAGCTTGATCATACAAACCAAATTAAACTAACTCTGTCAAAGGTGATATAACTCATTGTTCTACTTTTTGTAGATTCATGACTTTAGCACTCTGTTTTCTAACACGTACGGATGATGATGATGCTTAGAAAGGATTATTTTTTGCCATTCTTTTCACACATATTAATACAATTTTAGAAATTACTCTTTTAACTTAGGCTTTATTATATAACTTTTTTAAAATAATAAATATTATAAAATAAATTAAGTTAAAGAACGATAAAAAGTATACCAAGAAAATTACAAATGATTAACTTTTTGAAACAATGTTTTTTTTCCAAACATCTATTAATTATTTAGAAACAGATGGAATATTTTGGTAAATTTACTTTTACTTGGAGACATAGAGATTTATATATACTTGTAGTCTGATATTGTTTTGGTAGACTTGAATTTTAATATATTCTATTGTTTGTTTCATTTTTTTTTAAATCTTAATTCAGTTTCATTCTGTTTACGTTTTATTATCTTTTTTTTTTAATTTAGTTTTTGTCAGACAAAAAAAAAAAGAGAAGAGATAACAAAAGAAGCTGTTGTTATTCCATGAGTGATGAAAATTATATAGGAACTAGATTATGATCCAGTATACGCAGATTTATAATAACAAAATTTTAAATTTATTAAAATAATGTTGGATAAAATAAAATAAAAAAATGGATCACTTGTGGAAAAATATATTAAAAACACAAAATCAAAATCTAAAAGTTCTTTATTTTAATTTACATTTGTTTTTAATTAAAATATTCAAAATACAAAATATGTTAAGGTTTCTAAATAAAATTAACCTTATTACTCTTGTAATTCAATAATTTATCAACTATTTTTTTCTGTTTCGGTGTGTTAAAAACTTGAGTATGCAATATGTTAACTCTATATCTATTAACTCTCTCCAAATAAACAAAGTTTCACATTCATCTCCCGCTACATCACTGAACGCTTTCTGCCAGATAAAGGTATAAAAACTTGCACCTTCCTGTGTTATTATTTACAAACATTTGATCTAAAACATTTATATTTTGGACTTCAAGTTTTGTTCTTGGAAAATGTTTGTGCGTTTAAGATATAATTTCTTCGTTTCAGCTATTGATCTTGTTGACGAAGCTGCTGCAAAGATGAAGATGGAGACCACTTGGAAACCAAGTGAACTCGATGAAATAGACAAAGCTGTGATCAAACTGGAGATGGAGAAGTATTCTTTGAATAAAGACACTCATAAAGCTTCTAAAGAACGTACACAAAAGATTGAGAAAGATTTGATCACACTCAAGGATAAACAGAAAGAACTCAGTAACCAATGGGAGGAAGAAAAGTCTCTCATTACTAAACTACGTTCACTAAAAGAAGAGGTAAAATTAATTCCTCACATTTCTTGTTCAGTCTTAACGATTTAAAATGCAAAACAAAACATTTATTGGTACTTTTGGTGGTTATAGTAATTATATATATATATATATAAATCTTAAACATGTTTCACGTATAAAACATTTCTTGTTCATTCTTGTTTTGGCTTAACCTGCACATAAAAAAAAACATTTATTGTTTTGTAAATAGTGGTTACAGTAGCTGTGGTGGTTGCTTATCAGGCCGTCACAAACTATTTGTTGGCCCTTGTTCAAATTTTGCATTAAAGGTTGATTTAATATGATAATAAGAAATTTGAAAAAAATTAGGCCATGCATATATCTAGTTGAAATTTCTCTATAAATTGCTTTTAAGTCACCAGAAATTTGAACATGCTCGATTGCTCTACTTGCGAATGCTAAAAACATGTTCAATGTGTTACAGATCGATCGGTCCGCTGAACGTGAATCTGGCCTAAAGCGAACTGCTGAGATCAAGTATGGAACACTTACGTCCCTCCAACGATCATTAGAAGAAGCTGAGAAGAATCTCACCACAGAGTCTGAACAGTTACTACTCAAAGAAGGTGTAACCGATCTTCACATAGCAGAGATAGTAAGCAAGTGGACAGGTATACCACTATCGAATCTTCAGCAATCAGATAGAGAAAAGCTGGTGATGTTGGAAGAAGTGCTTCACAAGAGAGTTATTGGTCAAGACAAGGCTGTAGAATCAATAGCAGACGCTATCCGTTGCTCGAAGGCCGGTCTTACCGATCCTAACCGACCTATAGCCAGTTTTATGTTCATGGGTCCAACAGGTGTTGGTAAAACTGAGCTTGCCAATGCTCTAGCGGGATACCTCTTCAACACTGAAAACGCAATAGTGAGGATAGATATGAGTGAGTACATGGAGAAAAACTCGGTCTCGCGGCTCGTTGGTGCATCTCCTGGCTACGTTGGTTACGGAGAAGGTGGACTGTTAACTGAAGCTGTTCGAAGGAGACCTTACTCAGTGGTTTTGTTCGATGTGATCGAGAAAGCACATCCTGATGTTTTCAATATCTTGCTACAGCTTCTTGACGATGGAAGAATAACTGATTCTCAAGGGAGGACAGTAAGTTTCAGGAACTGCTTTGTGATTATGACGTCTAATATAGGGTCTCATCACATTCTTCAGACTTTCCGCAACAATCAAGATAGAAAAGCAGCAGTTTATGAGATGATGAAGCAAAAAGTTGTGGAGTTAGCAAAACAAACTTTCAGGCCAGAGTTTATGAACAGAATTGACGAGTACATAATTTTCCAGCCGTTGGATTCAAAAGAAATAACCAAAATCGTCGAGTTTCAGGTAATTTACAAACTTTTTGTTTTTCGTATTTAGTTTTCAGAATACGTAGATTGGTTTATGCATATATATCAAATATACTTCTTGCCCATTGGTTAACAATAGGGATATTCAAAGTTCTAGGTTTTTTTTTAGACTACCTACTAGGGATGAGCGGGATTTCTTAGGATCCACGTAACACAGTTAATAATATCCTCGTCTCTTGTTAGTTTTATAGGCATATGCTATTCGGTTTGGTATAAATGTATTGGTATCATATGGTGCAGATGAGAAGAGTGAAGAACATGTTGGAACAAAAGAAAATAAATCTCGAGTACACGAAAGAAGCGGTGGATCTTCTTGCTCAGCTTGGGTTTGACCCTAACAATGGAGCAAGACCGGTGAAGAGAGTGATTCAGGAGATTGTGAAGAAAGAGATCTCCTTAAAACTGTTGAAAGAAGAGTTTAAAGAGGAAGACACTATTCTTCTCGATGTTGACCAGACAAACAACAAACTGGTCATCAAGAAGCTCGAGAACAATGTCAATGCCCCCATTGAAGAAATGGCAGCTTGATTATTGAATTCTTTTGTCCGATATATTAGCTTTACTGATTCAGTTATTAGTTAATTAATGGTGTCTATTAATGTGGAACAACATTATACATCCAGTCTAAAGTTAAACGAAAATGAAATTTTGTTTCCCCGGCTCTTGATGATTTTACCAATGACGAGCCAACAGTTTGCTTTTCTTGCATCACGTTTGCAACATACCAAAAACCCCATGACTCCATTAGTCTGAAATAAAGTTTATTCTCTGCTAATCAAACTTCAAACCTGTATAAAAATATTAATTAACCACATTATCAAGGAAAAATGTAGTACATATGGTGTGAACCAATTCTTTAGCTCAAGGACTTTCCATGAACATTTAAATTTAACGAATCATATTATTAATTGAGAAGCAAGTTGGACTATGGTTGAGAGTTATGATGGTTGATTACTTAAACTCTTTTAAAATTCTATATATATATATATATATATATATATATTAATTAATATTAAATTTATATGAAACAAGGATCCTTTGGTTTTGGTCATTTTGGATTGCTATGTTTTTTTATATGCAAACTTTGAATTTCATTAATTTT